CATGTGTTAAAATCTCACAGTTGTTTGGTAGTGAAGGTTCAAGTAAAATCAATTTAGGAAGTGATGGAGCCTCAGCCCAGCGACAGGTTGGAGAAGAAAAGAGGGAGGAGGAGGAGAAACCCGAGCCGGTGTTGTGCCATGAATTGACTCGCTGCCAAAAAATGATTAGCCACCGCGGGATCGCGCACGGTTAGGTAATTGCATTTCTAGACAAAATTCCCCAGGATTTCGCCCTAAAACTCAGCATATCTAGCAATATGGACATTCAGAAAGCAAAGATAACCTCTTCCGGTACTTAAACAGATGTTTATCGCGGATATTAGTGTGGCAGTGTTTGTGGCACCCTGCGCGGGAGCACGAGGACGTGCTTGTGGAAAGAGGGAGGAAGATGTGGCAGTGTGAGCATCCACAATGTCCCGATTGATCATGCGCCCTGGCTACTTGGCCAAGGAGATGTTCCTTTGGCTGACTGGTTAGAGCGTATGACTCTAACCCGGGGGCCTGGGGATCGACTCCCGCCCGGGTACTCGTTTCTGCACCTTGCCACATTAGTTTTTCCAGTTCGGAAGTTGTTTTAAGTGTTGCTATTTGTCTTAAACGTTCACAATGACGATATATTAATCCTTTTTGCAATATTTGCGATTGAAAGATGGTTTGTGCCACAAACTTTGTGGTAAGAACTGGCTTTCTTTATGTTACAGCCTTGATACAAAAAAAAAAAATAAACAATGTAAAATGGCACCCTGTATTGAATGTAAACGTTGTATAAATGGAAATAAACAATTCTCCAGCGATTTAATTTTTTCCCCTTCCTTTCTTTAGTCCACTTGACATGGAGCCACAGTTAACTAGTTTGGGGCACATTTTTACTTGAAAAAAAGTATTTAAAATGATCAAGCTTCGGCTTTAATGACACTGTGTAGGTTTCTATCTATACATTACGTTGCTCTATTTAAAAGTAACAAGATAAAAGCACTTCAGCACATAAAATTAAGATTGTCACTTGCCAAATAGACTACACCCTCCCGTTTACCTATAAGAAACGCCTCAAAATATCTTTAAATTCTTTATTGATGATTTAATTGTAGACAAATAAAGTGGCATTTTACTTGCCAAAAAGTGATTGAATCGCTAAGATTTTCATGGAGGCTAAAATTGACCAAATAAGGGTTTTATGTATTATCTGTTGATGTTACTGTACTCATACTGCCTACTGTGTCATCAAAAACACCCCAAAAATGGCAAAAAAAGAAAAAAAAAAGAAAAGATAATTTCCCTTAATTGCCAAAAATTGATTACAGTGTCCTGGTCACCTGTAAAGGGTTACATTTACCTAAATATTACTTTATTTATTATCTCTTGATGTTATTAGTGCCATCACAGGATGCCGGGTGTCTTTCACATTCATAAACACCTCAAAAATGGCAACAAATGATCATTTCCCTTGCCAAAAAATGATTACAGTGTCCTGGTCACGTGTAAAGGGTTAAATTGACCTAAATATTACCTTATTTATTATCTCTTGATGTTATTAGTGCCATCACAGGATGCTGGGTGTCTTCCACATTCATAAACGCAGAGTCCTGGTCACCCATAAAGGCTTAAATTGGCATAAATATTACTTCATTTATTATGATGCTGGGTGTGTTCCACAATCATATTCGAATAAACGTGAAAATATTCTGTCCGAATATCTGTTTCTTGTTATAAATATAACAGCTAGAAGGATTTACAGTTAAAATAGGAGAAAGACGTGAATCCCCAGGAGGAGTCGTAACACCACTTGCCTCACGCACATAAGTGAACAAAACAAAGCAGCATGGAGACACTCCGTCTCCAACCACCTCTCAGGCAGCAGCCTGCATGATCTACACGTCACCAGAACATAAACAACCGCAACACAATAAAAGCAGTGTTATACAAAATGGAAGGCCTGTAGTGTTTATTCTCTTACAGTAACAACTTATCAATTTTTTGGAGGAATTTATTTGAGAATTTTTTGGTTTTTATTAATTGTGCAATAGAAAAGTAATCGCTAGATTAATCATCTAAATAGTCATTAGAATAGTTGACTATTCGATAAAATAATCGTCAGAATAATCATTTTAAAAATAATCAGTTACCCCCAACCCTACTTTTTAGAATACCAGGATAGGAAGGATGGTGTAGGTTTACGTTTATTAGATTGATACATAAATACTACCAATAAGAAAGTGTACGTTGGCGTGTGTCAGAAACAGCGTAAGGCTTAATGTCTTTTCCAAAAAAACAAACAGGTGACGGGCCGGTCTCCAGTCAAAATGCCCAGGCTGAATTTTTGTCCCAGTCCAGCCCTGGTCTCTGGTGAGGCTTCATGAAACGTTTGGCCGTTTATAAACTGAGGTGACATTTCCTGGGCAACATAAATGTGTAAAAATTGAATCTGGGCACGTGAACACTAAAGCTATATATGTAAGGAGGTGGCTGACCATCTGTTAACAGATATATCCATCTGTGATGTTCACTGGTCAACATAACATGAAGCTCAAAGTCAGACAATTTACTAAAGCAAAACAGATTTAAAACAGGAACACCCAAGTTAGAACTTCCTGTTTACGGCAGTGGTCTCTGAATAAATAACTCAAAATTATTTAGACTTTACTTCTGACAGAGCAGCTAATTACATTGTCTTCTCTACAGATTTATGTGTGTTGCCGCCACAGTAATGAGGACTATTATGTTCCCCTTCAATCAGGGTTCAGCAAGAAATGTTTTTCTATGAAACATGAAATTTAACTATTACTGAATCGTTAAGGGAAACCTTGCAGTTTTGACTTGATTTTAGCACCCCCTAGAGTCCGTTTTAATTCACTGTTGTCAAACCAAAACAGAAACTCTCCTCCTTACTGTGCACTCATGTTTTTAACCTGAAGGCTCAAATGTTTCCTTAGCTTTCATTAGTTTCTACAGGAGCGGTTCATCACTAAATCATGTGACCACAGGGAAAGGCTGTAGCACTGGCAAACGTAAACATGGATTCAGAGCGCTGGGTGATCACAGACAGGCATGTTACTGTACAAGCTATGAGTGGCTAACCGTCAACATGGTGGCAGCTGGCTAGGCAGCGCTGCTCAGCAGCAGCCGGGGTCCACACGGCACGCTGAGGATTTGATGGTGTGTGAAGACACAACCTATAGACAATAAAGCTTTAATGGCTGAGCGTTTACCTGGTGAAACAAGAGCTTGTATGGGTCTTTGAGTGAGTATATGATCAATGATGGAACAGGATGTGATCACTACTCCCTGACTAACATATTTGGAAATAATTACAAACCCAGGGAAAGCTAAAATGTACACAAACAAGACATATTAAAGTTGTCCTTACAAGGGCAATATGGTCGTTAGTGTGTATCCAATTAGTTTCTCTCAGAACTCTTGTCATTCAGAAAACCCCCAGTGTTGACTCTTGTTTGATTCTGATGTTCATTAATTGTTTAGCTCCATAAAATAAAATTTTTCCTTGTTTCTTCTGAGGCTCCACCATGATAAACCCGTTACAATAAACATCAACCAGCTATAGCTCATTTGTCCTGTAAACATGGAGTTGCCATAAATTGTTACTGCTTCATGCAAGATACGTGACTTTAGGAAGCGGTCTGGATACTCTGATATTGCAAGTGTGGTATTCTCACCACAAAGGGTTGAGGGGAGGGAATTACTTTTTATTAACCCTGTGATGACTAATTTTAGCACATTCTGGCTTAAAATCTGATTCAAAAATATGAAAAAGTAAGTAAGTAAGTCTAACCATTCACCCATACATTAAATCTCATTCAAAGTAGGGGCACAGGGGCAGGGTCCATGTGGGTAATATCAGACGTGCTGGAGTGCGAGGCGGAGGTAAGGATCCAAACACAGGTGAAGAAGGCAGGCAGACAGGAACGGTTCAAGGCTTTAATATACAACACGCCGACACAGAAACAATGATCCAACATAAGACAAAGAACTGAAGGGGTTTAAATACAAGAGGGTTGGGAACTTGGGTGATTGGAAAACGAGAGGCAGGTGGGAGCAATTAACAGAGACAAGACTAAACCATAAGGGGAGACAGGACAGGGTGTGACAGGTAACCCCAGGCACCTTCCTGCAGATATGGGAAGCATGGGCACAATTAGGTCTTTGATAATTGTGTATGTGCATTTAGTCTCTGATTGAAATTTTAAAACAAAAATAAATGGAGATTCAAACAATTAATTGAAGGAAACTTTTAAAGTGATTGGCTGCAGGAGCATTACGGTGTTTTCCAGACCAAGTTTTGAACTGAACAGAACCACAGAGCTGGAAAGGTTGTTCGCCTGTTTAGAAAAACGTTGTCTCATTCAACGCTGCCAAGGCTGTCCCTCGTCTCTGATCTTGTTTGTGGTGTTTAGGACAGGACAGATGTCATCACTGACTTCTGCAAATGGTGTGGATGGGGTCTTCAAGACATGACGTCAACGTTGGTGTCAAGCAGTCAGATTGAAATTCAGCTGCTGTTTCTCCAAGTCAAAGACCAGGGTTTGAACAAGACATGTATAACACAGCTAGAGATCAGTGTTTGTCTCAAGCTAAGAAGTTTATCATGTTTAGAGAGAGAGAGTGCTAGATTCACCTCTTATTATTTTGCCATCAGGCTTGTTGTGTCGCTGTCATGTATTGGCAACATTTTTCAGAGACTAAAACAAAGAAAGCATCGTTCCTGTGCTGTTGGAATGCTTACTAACATTTTTATAAATTCAGAACTTAGCCTATAGCACATGTGATCGTTTCCTCTGTGCTTTTGCAGGTAGGTAGGCTACTGAAAGAGATTAGCGGCTCGGGATGAGACACGACTGCAACCAAACACACCATCCATCCCTGTTTTCTGCAAGTGTGCTGCCCTCACTGCCTCTCACACACTCCAGAGCCAAGTTTCATTGCCATTAAGGTCAGGTTGAGTGTGTGTCTGCGTGTAGAAATGGGCGAGAGAGAGAGAGAGAGAGAGAGAGAGAGAGAGCGAGAGAGAGAGCGAGAGAGAGAGAGAGAGAGAGAGAGAGAGAGAGAGAGAGAGAGAGAGAGAGAGAGAGAGAGAGAGAGAGAGAGAGAGACTCCTTGTGAATGTGTGTGAGAGGACGACTGAGCACGCGGAGGAGAGAAGGACGCACCGAGACTCTCCTTGCAGTCCGGAGGATGCTTCTCTGACATGCGGACCGCCTCCGCCACCACCTGACTGACTGACCGCAGATCAGCTCGCTCGCACACCGGGAGTTCGGTCCTGTTTATTCCTGTCCGAGTGTCTCCGGTTCTGGACCGGCTTTAAGTCGCCATGCCGCCGGCCGCCCGCTTGGTCCGACTCCTCCACACGTTGTTACCCGCGGTCCTGTGGCTCGGGCTGCTGTGGAGCAGTGTCTCGGCAGCAGGTAAGAGCGCGTGCACGTCAGTAATCCCGCTGCGGGATATTATTTATTTATTTTCCTTCTTAAAACTCCCAATCCATCTGCGTGCTGGCAGCAGGCACACAGTCGCCTCTCTGGATATCCCCGACTTGTTTTGAGAAGAGTCGTGGGAGGAGAGGGTGAGGAAGCGGGAGGGGGCCTTTGAAGTCCTGAAATAAACGCAGTTGCGGGCTATTTGCGGTGCAGGCAACCGGTTTGGCACAGCAGTTCGGGAATGCACGCACGCCTTTCAGAGGAGAGGGTGCGCGCGTGCTGAGCTGAGCCCACTCGTGTGCGTGGGAGCATCGATCAGTGAATTCAGAGGAAGAGATCACCTGTCAACAGGCGCTGCGGTGTCAGGGACATGTGTGTGTGTGTGTGTGTGTGTGTGTGTGTGTGTGTGTGTGTGTGTGTGTGTGTGTGTGCGTGTGTGTGTGTGTGTGTGTGTGTGTGTGTGTGAATATAAACAAACATCGGGAGGAGACACTGATCATTGTAAATGTGGAGGAGCTGTTGTTCATCTGTGAGACTAAAACGACCTTGCTGCTGTGGTCCTTTCCTCGAGAACCAGTGAAAGTGGGATTTAGTGCCTCAGCCGTAAAAAAACAGCAAACCCTGGTGTCTGACAAGCATGTGTAGAACAGTTTGAAGTGAGTTTTACTTGTGGTCAAAATGCTTCAGTTAATGGGAACTCAGACTTGGAGTAGTAATAAGACACTGGCTTTTTTTTTTTAAATTAAACATGATCTCACGAGTTAGTTTTTTACAACAAATGTATAAAATGTAATTTTACTCAGAATTCACCTTTTTATTAACCTTTATTTAACCAGATGAGTCGGTTGAGAACCCATTCTCGTTTACAACAACAATCTGGGCAAAAAGGCGTTGTTGCTTGTGTTGCAATGAGATATGACAACACACAAGAGCCAGTGCCTTATCTGTATCTGTATTGTTGCATTAAACCAAATTATTTGCAAAGTGACTCTACACTCTAAAAAGTCTACATGCAGTTTTTCATTTAATCTAAAAACTGCTGTTCAAAACAAAACACAAATATTGATTTGATTGTGAAACTCTTTGGTTTTGCATTTTAAATCATCACCTTTGATTTGCATGGAACTAAATATCCATTCAAACCAATCAACACAAACTTTTTGATTTCACTCAAAACGTTTACTTCATTCATGTTCAGCAGATGATATTTTTCATTTGGGTCAATTGTGATTTGCACATGAACACCCAAGGGAGCTGCAGTGGGCGAGGTGCATTGTGGGTAGTCATGTTTATTTATTTATTTTTGGGAGAAATAGGGTGTGTGTGTGTGTGTGTGTATGTGTGTGTGTATGTGCTTAGTTATTACTTCATTCACTGTTGCAAATATGGCGTTACTTGTTATGTCATTGTGTCACCGTAAGTGTGGAGGCCGCTGCGCCGTTCCGTTTGAAGTGGTTGTCCACGCTAAAACATCTGGAATCAGTTTCTTGTGTTTAGCTCTCACTTGCTGTTTGCAGGTGAATGAGACATGAGTTAGCTGGCATTGTTCAATGATGCTTTGATTTTATGTAAATTAGTTAACTGGTGTTCATGCAAACATAATAAGTCATCTTAATTTGGTTGAATGTAAATGCATTAGGCTGGTTGAATTTCAAAATATTAGCTTGGTTCAATAAAATACAGTTGTTTGTGAAGATGTATTTATAAGTCAAAGAAATAAGGTTCAGTCAAGTGAAGTAACGTGGTTTACAGCGATATAAAAAATCTGGTCATATAAAGTGAATAAATGTAGTTTCTGTGAAGTCACATATTTTGGATGTGAAAATTGGACAACGATTTTTTTATTTGAGTAAGTTATTTTGTACAGTGTAGAAAGGTGAGAGGTGTTGTGCAAATAAATGTTTTTCCTACAGCTTTCTGATGGTTGTTACCCCCGATCATCCCACATCCACTTTCAGCATCTTTGATTTCCTTTTTACACCTTTCTGAGTTTTTGGACCACTGGATGTTTATTTCAGTTATTTTGTATCTGCTGTAGAATATTGAACACGATGGCTTCAGAAGAACAATGAGGATAATGGTGAAAACCATTTTTAAGAATGTGTTTTAAATGGGTAAAAAATAATCTACATTATTGCAAATTTTTAGGTTTAAAATGCCATTTTAGAAATGTTAGAAATGTTGGTGTATTGCTGCAGCAGTCTGATTTCTTGCCTCTTTAAGACCTCCCCATCTTGTTCATGTGAAACAGGTGTCTTCTGAGATTGAGACTGTCTCAGTGAGATTACCTGTGTAAATGAAGCCAGAATAAAAACCAGCAAGCCCACTTATCTCTTGGTGATGTGTGTTTCTGTCCTCTTTTGCAGCACAGCTTCACCTACGCGTTTCTTCACTGTCAAAAGACAAAATAATGAGTCGCAGATTTGCTTACAACATCTCTACATTGACACCATGGAGGCATTGTCCCTTTCTTAGCCAAGAAAGCTGGGGTGCTGGAAGCAATTAAAAGCTACAGTCAAGGTTTTTCCTCTTAAAAGTCCCAGGGCTGGACGAGGACAGGTGCTGATAGAGGTTCTTAAACGTTTCTATGAAAACACAGCCAGAGAGCAGATTCTGAGATACTTTTTCAAGTCGGTTAGTATTTGATCTAATGTTTGGAGGTTTTGTGGAGGATCACAGTGCAGGGAGACAGTTTATGTACACAGATCACAGGTTTGTCTCGTTATTCCTGCTAACAGATGTCCTAATGTCCCTGGAGCTGAATTAATGAATTCAATTCAAAGTCAACTAAATGTTGCGCGCTGACCTATTTATACTGACATTTATGTGAAAAACAAACTTTTTTGAGTAAACTCAAATGTTTTAAACACGATTCTCACAGTTCAGTGAGAAAATTTTTAAATAGTTGATAGTTCACTCTGTCTTCCACCAGTATTTCCTGCAATAGTCGCTGAAATAAAATAGACGGGGAAACTCCTGCATTAGAAAAGCCAGTGGAAGAGTCACGTTTCTGTTAGCCAATCAGAGGTAAGATGTCATAATATCAGGAAATAAGGCTCCAAAACCGTCTGCTGCCCTCCTCTTCTCAGGCTCACTAAAGCAGGAGCGCCAGAGATTTTTTCCCCACAGAGATCAAAACACAAGGGTTAAATTTAGACTAGAGACCACTGCAAATGTGTTGAAACCAACTAGTGAACTTGGTCTTTAAATGAACTAGGCAGTAGCTCAGAAGGTAGAGCGGGTTGTCCAGTAATCGGAAGCTTACAAGTTGGATCCCGGCTCCGACCAGAGAATGCTGCTGTTGTGTTCTGACAATTAACCCACCTTGCCTACTGGTGGTTGACGGAGGGACTGGTGGCGCCAGTGTTCGGCAGGACTCGCCTCCAGGGCAGTCGCGGCTACATCATAGCTCATCCCCACCAGCGTGTGATTGTGTGTGTGAAAGGTTGAGTGCTGTGAAGGGCCTCGGGGGGTTGTGGGACCCTAAAAAGTTGCTAAACAATACAGGCTGTTTACCATATTTCAGCAAAAGTGTTCAAGCAAGATGTTGTCTGTAGTTTTACAGATCGATTAGAACTAATTAGAATTTAAATTACTTTGAGGCATCAAACAATGACACATGAGAACTGAATAGACATTTACTGTGTCACAATCCCTAAAACCTAAGAACTCATCGGTGTGCTCTTTCCTCGCCATGCCTGTAAAATAGGACACACAACATGTATTATTTTTTCTTTAAAAGTTAAAATAAAATTTGGTAATATTTAGTCTTTGTGTTGTGAATTTGAAAAGTTGCAAAAAAACGTTCAGAGTGGAATTAAATCTAATCGGAGCAGAGATGAAATAGATGTACTCAGTTTTACCATCATTAGCGCTGTTCAGAGGAAGATGACTCAAAGTAAACATTCTCAGTCTTGTCAAGTGTTTCTGACAGCTCTTGTGATGGTCTACAGAAATTGTTTCTGCTGTCATCTCAACGAATAGAAATGATCACACAGCTCTAGCTAAACGTTTGTACCAGAGGATTGCGTTGTTTTCTTTGTTTAAATCCAAAGTGACTGAGCTGTCACACAGCTGTCAGCCAGGATTCTTCTTCATTCAGTCGTCAGACGCACGATCACATAGGAGGTGGTCTTAAACCGTCAATGGTCTAAAACCTGGCTGAACCTCAGGAGTCCCGCACTCCCACATTCATCATCAATCCTTTCTCAGCAGGTTTCAGTCTTCTGGTTAATCTCTGTCACTCCTGTGTTCATGCACAACTGTTCGATCTGTAAATGCACAGTGTGTATCATCCCTGCATCGCTGGTTTCAGCACTGTTGGTCTCTGAGTTTAATGAGCTCCTCTTGCAGAGACCCAATGCCACTGAACAGAATCACATTGTGTGTGTGTGTGTGTGTGTGTGTGTGTGTGTGTGTGTGTGTGTGTGTGTGTGTGTGTGTGTGTGTGTGTGTGCATGTTGTTGTCACGACTGTGCCCATGCCTGCAGGTAGGCTGGATATCTGCGTGGTCTGATTTTTCGCAGTGAGATTGATAATTGGATAGAAAGACAGCTTGACAGGCGAGTGGAAAATCAAGAGCTCCAGCCAGGAAGCAGAGCCAACTACAGTTTGGAACCGGTGAGCCACTCGATATCGACCCCCGCTGCTGCTGGTTTTGTTGTACAAACATCAATAAAGTATATCCGCTTAATTTAAAAAATGTATAGATTCCTCTTCTCTCAAAAGCTCATCCATCTTGTAATCCATCACTCTTTGCTCTTCATCTTCCATCCTGCAGCCCTCTTCGTCCTTGATTTTGTCTCCTCTGTTAATAGTGAGTGAAAAGGGAGAAGAATGAAACTGAGGGGGGAGATAAGGGAGAATGTTTCTTCTGCTTGAATAACCCAAACTTTGTTACACAACTGGATCCTGCGGCTTCAAACTCATGAGAATAATGTGCAAAGGTAGCATCACAGGAAGATGGCAAGGGAGGGAGATGGAGGATGAGG